ATTATTTATTTTTGTAGTATTTTGCTTTAATAACTTGCCACGTAGCTTTGCTTTTATTACTACTTTGGTTTATATAGTTAATGTTTGCATTTCTTTTTGATTGCTTAGTAACTGCCTTCATATTTTACAGTAACTTTTGTATCTATTTTTCGCAGCATGGCAGTTTGTATATCGTTTCTTTAAATATAACTGTCTTTTGTTCCTACTGGATATCGTAATACCTTTTGTTTTCCACTTTGATATCTTTTTATATGTTATTTTAATTTTTTTGTTTGGCACACAAAGACCGTAAATCAGACTAAACTGATCTAAAAATATTGTATACGCGTCATTGGGATTACATTGTGAATAAACATCTGTGAAATTAATCTGTGATAGGTATTTTAAGAAAATCTCTATATACATGTCTGGGTTTCTTATAAACATATACCAAAACTTATTCTTAAAGCTTTTGTTTGAGGGAATCGATATCAATTGACAAGTATGATCAGATACCCCAACATCTAATACACTAACATTATATTGTTTCATATTAGTCATAATATTATCAATACATGTTTGTGAGTGTGAAGTAATTCTGGTAGGTATCAAAATAGTAGAATGTAATTTATAAGTCTGAAACATGTTCAGTAGCGATTTAGTTTGTTTATGATTTTCTAATATATTTACATTAAAATCACCCAATACAAATATATTATTATAACAATTTCGTGTTCGTATTGTTATTTTTCTTAATAAATACTCCATATTAATCAAAAAACATCCAAGTCACTATTTAGTGTTCTATACACGGATATTATTAAATAGTTTAATCCACTTATTAACACACCACAACATTCAAAATGATTTTCTATAGCCATTTCTACCCTACTACCCAACTATATAAAGACTGTGAGGTGCTCACAGCCAGGCAACTCTACATACTTCAAATGGTACTTCGTAGACATCGCTCGCTCCCACTGGAGTACCGCGCACAAAAAATAAGTCGAAGACTGGAATACCGGGTATTGAACACCTCCCCCAGGTGATGTGAGTAGTCATGTTTACATTAATAAAGAACTAAATATCTATAAAACTACTGCAAGAAAGTGAAAACAGGAACTGAAGCAGTGGCTGCAGGGACTTTCATACAAGGATTCAGAGGCGCTTTTGCGATCCCCCTATAGAGCTAACTAAACCACATCTCATGATTAAGTCGTAAGATTCATCACACAATTAGTGAGGACTGCTGTCATTGACCAAACCAATCCCTAGATGTTTAAAATAGGGCAGGGTTTATTATGCACACATTAATACACACACACACACACACACACACACACACACACACACACACACACACACACACACGCACGCACACACGCACACACATACACACACACATACACACACACATACACACACACACACACACACACACACACACACACACACACACACACAAACATTTACAAACTTTTACGTGTACACTCGCAATTTCATCCCTCTCTTTTATACCTTTATACTCTTTTATACTTGTTCTTAAGTATTGTCTCCATATGTAGCGGATTCAATATTATGTAGTACTAAACAGGGCATTGCTCTAATTGTTTCCTATAATGTCCGGTGGAAGGCGCTAGCGTCTGTAATACAGTTTTCAATATATAACTAGTACAGCCGCTAACGATCAACCATATCCTACTAGTATGTTACTAGTATATTGATGCCTGTAATCGTAATTAATATGGTAAATTTTGTTACATATTTTTCTGAGAATAAAGATTTTATTATTATTGGGGTATCTATATAATTTTCTCACCTGGTTGGGTTCTATAAATATATAATTATAAATTAAAATGAAAAGATAAATGTACATAAATATCAATAAAATAAAATAAATACAAAAACTACATAAGTAAATAAGATTATTATTATTGGGGTATCTATATAATTTTCTCACCTGGTTCGGTTCTATAAATATATAATTATAAATTAAAATGAAAAGATAAATATACATAAATATCAATAAAATAAAATAAACACAAAACTACATAAATAAATAAGATCCAACCAGATGGGAGCCCTCGGCAGGGGAGACCAAACGGCCGAGGGTTAGGGGGAAAGGGAAAGAAACCGACGGACGATGCGGGCGGTATCGAGGAGCACCGCCTTCTGCATTTGAGTCCGGAGCGGTCCGTCACGGAGTCCCAGTCGCCTCAGATGACCCGAGAGGCTGACTGGGATTAGCCCATTCGCAGAGACGACTACAGGGATAATTTCGGTCGGCAGACCACCCCACATGTCGGTCACCTCGTGAGCCAGGTCCAGATATTTTGTTCGTTTCTCTGTTTCGGCTTTCACGAGGTTCTCGTCATACGGAATGGTAATGTCGATCAAAAATATCCTTGACTGTGCCCGGTCCATCAGCACAATATCAGGCTTATTCGCAAGAATAGTCCTGTCTGTGATGATGGCCTGGTCCCAGTAGAGCTTGGCGCGGTCATTTTCGAGCACGGCTTCCGGCAAGTACTTGTAATACGGCAATTTTCGGTCCACGAGACCGTATTTCAGAGCGAGCTCCTGGTGTAGAATTCTGGCTACTAGGTTGTGCCTATGCAAGTACTCAGAGTTAGAAAGCGCCGAACAACCGGAGATGACACGCCTAAGTGACTACCCAGGATGGCGACAAGCTCGACAGACGTCGACAGTGCCATCCTTTAGGATGTATCTCCGATAGTTCTTGGTCTTAATAACCTGATCCTGTATTGCACAGACAAAACCCTCGGTTTCCCCGAAGAGGTCACCGAAACGTAGCCAATTGAGGGAGGCGGCTGTATCTACGTGAGGCTCATGTAGAGCCCTGTAGTACCTCCCGTGGAGCTCCTTCTCCTTCCATACGGTCTCCCGGTCGGAAATGCTCTGTACTGCCGGGTCTTGCCATTGCTCGTTGGCTAAGGATAGAGGGGTAAGTCCTTTATCACTAGAAATGACGTCATTATAGAATGGATCATCCGTTCTCGCCAGGAAGTAATGACGGAGGCTGCACACTTCGCGATTATGCATGGTGAGCGCGCTCAGAAAGCCACGCCCACCATGCTTTCGCGGCAAGTACAGCCTCATTACCGACGATCTCGGATGATGCATCCTATGGGACGTCATTGTAGTGCGGATTTTTCTATCCAGGGCGTTAAGTTCAGTCTGACTCCACCTGAGTATGCCAAAGGTATACATCAGGACAGGCATGACCCAACCGTTATATGCATGTGTCTTATTCACACCGGACAAAAGGCTGTTAAGCACTTTGTTCAAGCGTGCATAAAACACGTCGCAAACTGACTGTTTCATACCAGCCTCATCGATACCGATGTTATGTACCCAGGTATCGGTATGTTTCAGCCTCGGAAAGGGCCCTTAAGTTGACGGGCATAGATAAGTCTATGCCCCGAGTTAGCAACCCTTCCCCTTTCAACATGGAGGACCGCACACTTATCCGTCCCCAGCTCCATTCTAATAGAATTGCTAAATTCACAAGTGATGTTTAGCAATTCCATAAGATGGGAGCGACTGGAGGCGAATAACTTGAGGTCATCCATATAGAAAAGGTGGGTTACTTTTGCACCTCCTTTCCGAAGCTGAAATCCCCTCCCGGAGCCCTCCAGTAAAGTACTGAGAGGGTTCAAAGAGAGGCAGAACCAGACTGGACTCAGACAGTCGCCCTGGAATATACCCCTTCTTATCCTTATGCGGCTTTCCGCAGCCATCATCCGCTCGCCTAGATGACAGAGGATCGTACTCCACTGCCCCATACACTGCTCGAGGAAGTCTCGAACTGTACAGTCAATCTTGTACAGCTCGAGGACCCTCTTTAGCCATGTATGGGGCACCGAGTCAAATGTCTTTCTGTAATCTATCCAGGCGGCGGAGAAGTTCCGACGGTTGCGTTTCACCACTTTGCCAATGCCCGCGTCAATGAGGAGTGGTACCTTGGTTCCACGACCGCCGCGCCGACATCCATTTTGAGCGCGCGACATTACCTAATTAGAGTCCAGGTGACGAGCGATTCTCGCGCTCAAAATGGATGTTAGTGTCTTGTATATGGTCGGTAGACACGTGATGGGGCGGTATTTGCTCGGGTCTGTGGCATCCTGATCTTTAGGAACCAAATGAGTGATCCCAGTAGTGAAGAGGCTTGGGAGCGACTTCTGGTTGAGAGCCTCTTGAAACTGTCGGGCGAGCACAGCGTGACACACCATGAACCCCTTCAGCCAGTAGTGATGCAGCTCGTCAAGCCCCGGACTTTTCCAGTTCGGGGCCCTACGGACCGCCTCAGCTACGTCATCCGGCGTTATGATGACGGGGTCCATGGGCGTTATACCCGCACACTGCCTCGCCACAACTTCCGCCCAAGGGCCCTCGTTGTGGTTTACGGGCTCTGACCACAGGCTGCGCCAGAATGCGACCGTGTCGGCCTGATTTGGTGCTGGGCCCGTTCCTCTTACTATTGGTCGCTCCAATGATTTATAGAGCCTCTTCTGATCACTCTGGAAGAGACGATTCTGGTTGAACCGTGTCGACCTCTCGGTATATCGCCGAATCCGCTTTCCCCAAGCAGCGATTCTTTGCTTCAGGTCGTCTATGCGCTCCGTCAGTTTTTGCATTATATCCGGCTGGGACAAACTAACATTTGTCCAAGCAAACGCTATCCTGACGGTGCGCACAATCCTTGGCCTGGTATTGCCTGACCTGAAGCATGTCAGTCTGCCGATGAGGGCCCTAGCCTTTGCGATACGTTCTTCAATTCTTATTCTCCAGGCTGGGATAGCACTACTTTGTCCAGTAGCGCGTCCAGCCGTGGAAAGTTTGGCGCCTATAATACGGCAGACTGCCAGTGCGGCGCCAAAAAGAATTGAGTCCGTCTCGCAAAGGTCCTGGCTGGCTTCCAAATAGGTAACCAGCATTGGGTTCAGAGCCCTCACGACAGCCCGATCCCGCTTGCTTAGGGCTAAGCGGGGAAGTCGCGGTCAATTTTCGAGAGGCGTACTGCGCGTTTTCACAATCGCCTCTTCCAATGTACTCCTCATTTGCTCTAGTTCCAGTTCCTGGGCGACTGTTCCATCATCGTCTGAATCAATCACAACTGGCGTGTTCACGGCGGCATCTACATTTGCCGTTTGCTCAGCAAGTTGTGGCGCCGCATCCTCAGCCACAGCATTTTCACCCGATGAAGGAATCCTAGCCCGATACGCCAAACATCCAGTTTCTCCCCCTTTCGCCCTAAAATACGCCCGCAATGCGTTGCTGTTCATCTGGGTTGTCCAACGCATGCGGCGTACTCCACCAGAGGCGGGTGCCGATTGCTGGGCCCGCGAAGACCCTGCCGACACCAAGCCAGCTGGTGGGGATGATGGATGCGAGGGGCTGCTGGGTGGTCGTGCAGCACCTCGCGCTCGGCTGGCGGTTCGCATGCTGCCGCGTCCAGCGCCAGCTCCAGACGCGCCCTGGCGACCTCCAGGCAGCGGCCCTTTGCGCGTTCTTCCGTATTCCATCATCCATAGTGGTGGGCGTCATTTAGCGGGAGACGCCCAGACCCGGCGCCGTTTCATGTTGAGGCCATGTGCACAAGCGGGCCTTTGCACCTTCAATTTTTGCCGAGGCACGGCACTAACACCTCTTGGCAAGGTGCTGACTGACTGCGCTGACGTAGCGGTTTTGTCACATAACCGTTACGTCAGCGGGCGATGGGGTCGTCACTTCCCTACGCCTATTATTATTATTATTTCTGATATCCATTGAAGTTCGTGGTAATCAAAAGATTTTTTTTACAAAAATGGCAACACGTCCGCCCTTTTTTACGTTTCCTACAGAAATGAGCTACTTTTTTATATCCGTCAATTTGAAATATGTCAACTTCGTAATTCTTTAATAAAGATGGGTTAATACCGATATTTGTCAGTATTAGTTAATGTGAATATATTCGTCAAGTGATATTATAATATTTCAATTAATATATGAATATGACTGATATATTAATACGACGGTTATACATATTACTATTCTATTCATGTAGGTATTAAGTTTATATTATAAGTTTATATGATACCAACTATATATATATATATATATATATATATATATATATATATATATATATATATATATATATAATATGCTTTGATAAATATTAATGTTGTTATTAAATAAATAATATTATAGTATAAAAGTATTATCAAAAGTGATTTTAAGTGACTATAATAAAAATAAATTCCACTGCACAAAACAACCCTTGTTTTATTAGTTTAAATTTTAGTGATGATTTACGATACCTAAAAATATGTGAACACATTTAAATTAAAGTCATAATCTTAACAAGAGCTATAGGGAAATACCATGACAATAAAACTAATATATCCCCAATTAAATTTTATTAAAATAAAATATATAAACTGACATATACATTTACTATATTAAATATACTATTAAAAACACCATTAGAGAGTCAACACAATATTAGACATCTATAAAGAGTTGTTGTATTTGTAAAAATACTTGTAAAATATCAAGTTAAAAATAGTCCCTACGGTTTAAGGAATAGAGAACTAATATTCGCCAAACACTCATATCGGTTAATCAGGGTTTCCGATACTTTTTTTGCCGCCAGGCGGTGCTTCGTATGCGTCAGGTCCAAACAGCTGTCAGATAGCACAGATTCCTACCGAACGTATTATTTTTTTTAGTGAAATTTTATGTATTTGGAAGAGTTATTGATTTTATTATGGATTACGGCCAAAGAAAGGTTGCCGAACTGAAAATTGAGCTCAAAAAGAGAGGCGCAAAAGTCACTGGTACTAAAGAAAAGCTCATTGAAAGGTAAACATAATCTACTTCTATTTGTTTCCACAATTTGATTGTTTTTTTTTTAACTACTAAATTGAAGTTATTTGTGTTTTAGTGAGTTGTTGTTGATTAATGTATATTATATATTCCAGGCTAAATGACTATGACAGAAACAACAACTTCAAATCAAATGAAAATGATAATTCTCATCTCTTAAGTGAGATTAATTATGTAATAGAATGGCCAGAAGAAAAGTTATACAAAAGTGTAGATTCAAAAACAGTTTTACCCAATTTTGACATTATTAACATAAATACGTATTTCCTTGAATTGTATAAAGACGGCATAGGAATGTCAGATTATTCTGCAGTGCACAGAAGAGGTTATAATATGCTGCAAAATAACTACCTACTCGCATTAGTGACCGCAAATACTAGTACACATATATTTTTCAAAGGTCAAGTCCATTCTGAAAATACAAAAGCCCTCACTTATTTTGCTTCCATTGCCATATGTAATGGAAGTGGATCTATTATACAATCGGTGTGTGAATGTGTAGCAGGGAAAGGACCAAAAGCCATTTGCAAGCATGTGTCAGTTTTGTGCTATGCTATACTCAAATTCCGAGAGCAGAATATATGGTTAATTAAAATGACTCCAACACAAAAAAAACAAGTATGGCATGTACCTAAAAAAAATAAACTTGATGTTTCGCGAAAAAAGCAGAGAACCTTTCATATGAAATAGCAGAATATAATGTTTGCAAAAAAAAGAAAAGAAGTGTGTGCTATGATCCAAGACCACAGTCCTTTATCAGTCAGGGAAAAGAATGGGCTACAACAGTTAGAAATAAAGTCATTAACTACTGCTCATTGTCACAAAAAAGAATAGGATTATGTGGAATTTTGGACAGTGCAAACATGCAAGATGTGATACATGACCATGATTACCTACCTTTTCCTTTACATCATCAACTTATTCTTAATAAAATATCTGTAAGCCATTTATTCCAGATGAATTTATTTATTATAGTAGCTACGACTTGTACAATCTTATTGACTGTACTGTAGCAAGCGAGGTGGTGAATCATGAGAAGTTGTAGCTACTATATTTTTTTATTATTTAGTATATTATGTAATCATCAATATTAATTGCACTTGCATAGGGATTGTAGATGTTTGTTTAGGTTTATACTTTCATACTTTCCTTATCCTTTGCCCCTAACAGGTTACACCTGACTCAGCAAAGGAAATTGAAAAGAAAACTAAAAATCAGACGAAGACAAAGTTATGGCATACAGAACGATCTTTTCGAGTGACTGCTTCAAGAGTCGGTGAGATTTGTAAATTTACTGCTAAAAAGGACCAAGAAAAGTATGCACAAAGCCTTATATGTAATAAGAAAATAGTAAGCACGGCCTTAGAATGGGGCAAGTCTATGGAAACCACAGCAATTGAAGCATATGAGGGGAAAACTGGAAAAAAAGTAGAACGCTGTGGTTTATATGTTTCTGTGCAGTACCCTTTCATTGGCGCTTCTCCTGATGGATTAATTGGAGATAACAAAATTTTAGAAGTTAAATGTCCATATTCCATAAAGGATGAAATGATTGGATCCAACAATTATTTCCATTTAGAGCATGATTTGCAACTGAAAGAAACAAGCAACTATTATTACCAAATCCAAACGCAGTTACTTGTCACAGGAAGAGATTGTTGTGATTTATTTATATGGACTAATGTTGATGAAAAAATAATAAATGTTAAAAAAAAATGATTCATTTATACAAAATATTATAATCCCTCGAGTAAAAGCTTTCTTTTTTCAATTTATGTTGCCAAAGATAGCAAAAAAATATGTATGATTGTTAATATATTTTTATAGTATATTGTAAGATTCTATGTGATAGAAATTAGAACAAAGTTTAATTTTGTATTCTTGTTATTATTTAATAAAGTATGTTTAATACAGTACTGTTAAAAGCGACATCAATTAAATAAAATTGAAAAAAACATATTTTACTTTATAATATTATTTTTGAAATTGGTTAACATAAAACATACAAATATTATTCTATCTGCTAAAGGCACCAATTTTGAATCCAACTTGCCGCTTAAGATCTTAAAAGTTTTAGCCAAACCAATGACCCTTTCAACGTGTATCCGTTCTGAAGATATATTTTTTGACCTTGTCAGTTGAGAAGTCTCAAATTGTCCATCAGTATTTTTTAAAAATTCTGGCACATTAACTGTAACATCTTTATGGCACACTAGGTCTTGTACATTAAAGCCACGGTCACTAAAAATGATATCATTAGGTTCAAGTTTATCAATAAGTCCACATTTTTCAAACAATTCACGATCACTCGTAGATCCACCATATGCATCGGATACAAATGTAACGCAGCCTGATGCTGAAATCCCAATTAAAACTTTTAGAGTATTTGCTGATTTGTAAGTGGAATATGTAAGCTGTTGTGTAAGTGGATTTTTGGGCTTCTCTATTTTTATTTCCGTGCAATCTACTATCACAGTGCATGGATTAATCTTGCCATAGTATTTCATATTTTTATCTATGCATTGTTTTGGCACCCAAACATTTAACTCTTTCAATTTACAATATAAGTAATTGATCCATGTTATGAAAATGTTACTTAGTACCGTTTTATTAATCTTCGATCGAAAGGCGAGTTCTGTAAATAGCATGTTCCGGCGTAATTTAATTAACACTAGAAGGAATTGATCACAAGGGTTTAGAAACGGCACCTTCAATGTTTTCAGTTGAGGATAATATTTTAAACAATTTACTTCATCTCCAAAAATACTAAATATGAATTTGATATGTTCATAATCTTGGAAACCAGTATAAAACTGTACTTCGGCCGCATTGGTTATATCTAGCACATTTGCAATTGAAGATTTTTTATTTTTATTTTCATTTTGAAGACATTCTTTAAGTGTTTTGAGATTATCACTTCCACATAAATCACATTGGATACCAACATCATTCTGTTTCTTCTCGAATTCAATTTCTACTTCGAAAAAAGTTTGTAGTTTCCATGAGGAAGGTGTCATCCTTCTCTTTTTCATTGTTTATGTGTACTTGGACACTAATTTTCCTTTCATTTCGCGCCAAACGCCTTTGATGCCGCTCCTTCTTTTTTTGATGCAAACTAGAATTTTGGTCAATCCATGGGAATCGACTTGGCACTGCACATTTTTTCAACACAGGCCTGGCTGGAATAATAATTCAATAAATATAATGTCATAATGAAATCATTTTTGATAAGGCAAGTACTAAAAAACGTTTACACTACATCATTGAAGGTTAGTCGCGCACAGATATAATCAAGGTGACTTAACTGAAGCTTATCATTATAAATAAGTACAAAATATTCTTACGTTTTTCTAATACTGAGTCCTTCGGTAGCTGGTAATCATCCTTTGTGAAGTGGCTTTTGCAAACGAGGCTATTTTTCGTTGGAGTAAATTTATCTCTGCGAATGGCTACAAGCCACTGTTTTAATCGGTTTTTATCTTCTGTAGGGAACTTATGCCCTCCTTTTTTTATTTGCACACATAGGCACTGCACAACACTGTGGCATTTTGGAAAACAATATTCTGTTTGTAACGTTTTTAAGGATAAATAAACCAAAAAAATGATCGAAAAATATAAATCGTGTAAGTGTTTTGACAGGTAGTTGGACCTGACACTA